GGGGAACAAAACTCTCGCCATTTTTTTCCTAGCCTCTTTTCAAGTGGCGTCACATTTCCGACGTTTTGGCACAAACGATTGTCGCCACCCGATTTTTAATCTGGGATTTTGTAAGCTTTTTGTAGGTAAAATCCTTCCTATCGCCGATTGGCTTCGAACGCTGCCCCAGGCCAAATCCGCAAAACAAGATTGCGATTTTTTGAAAAATCACTTCTGAAACTCACGGCGTCATTGAGGCTTTGGTCGCCCAAAAGCCCCTCTCGTTTTTTCGCCAGCATGCTTATTCTCTACTGCAAAACGACGGTTTCGGTGCTCCTGGCGACGCACTCTGAAATTGAAAACGGCATTAAAAACCAGGCACTCCTGGTGTTAACTGGAATCCACACGACTAGAGCCCGAGCCAAACTCCGTCCGATGGTCGTTTTCCTAGCAGAAAGCCATTAAATCAGACCAGCGACATTGGCGCCAAACTCCAACGATCTATGTTTAAATATGCGTATTTTCGCTCGCATTTTGCGCGTGCGCGAAAATTCACGAACAAATGCTATGGGGGACCATAGTAATTTTGCGCCGACTTTGTATTCAAACAGTAATCCCCCCTGCGGCGAACCACTGTAATTATGTTTGCCTCAAGCCTAGTACTACGACTGAAACTGTTAATCGTGGTAAATAGAGTGCATAGTAAATGTTAAATTGACATAACGCGCGCAAAATGGCACGAAAACTGCTATGAGGAACCACACTGCACACGCGAAAAAAGACGCAGAAAGCGCAGAACCAAGTTTGTGCTTCATGCTTCCGGCCATTATGTCCGGAACAAAACTTTCCCAGTATTTCTGTAAAATGGTTCTGAAAGGTTCTCAAACTCGCGTACACTTTATGCTCACAATTTACTGCCGTTACTGCCTTGTGCTGCCGTTTACTGCCGTTTACTGCCTGCTCTTTACTGCCCTGTACTGCCCCTTTACTCCTCTATACTGCCTTTTACTGCCCTTTACTGCCCTTTACTACTGCCCTTCACTTGCTTTTACTGCCTTTTACTGGCCTGTACTGCCCCTTACTGCATGAGGAGCGGGCAGAGGCACCAGCAGTAGCAGCAGCAGCAAGGCCGAGGCAGCAGCAGCAGTAGCAGCAGCGAGGCCGATGCAGCAGCAGCAGTCGCAACTCTACATATATGTGCTAGGCAGGCGTATGCTTGTGCTGCCTGCCTGCAGGTGTGCATTTGTGAAAACGCCCGGGTGCTTGCGACCTTGTGTGCCAGGTGCAGCTCGTCTGGCGCGCTATTAAGTCCGCTCTTCGCACGCATGCGCGTCGAGGGGACAAGCTCTTGCCGTTCCTGCTGAAATTTCGAGATGTTGTGGAACGCCTGAGCCACCATCTCATGCTGGAGAGGCTCGTGGCCGTCTCTGAGGCGGGCTCGGCGTTTCACGGGTCTTTTCATGCTTGTCCTCCTGCAGGTGACCTGCGCGCTGGCCCGCAAAGCCGAGCGGGATGAACAGGCTCCGGACTGGACGTTGAACGTGCAGAAGATTGACGTTCGCGGTGCCATCAACATTTGGTTCAGTCTTTTGACGGCCGAGCTCCTGGTCGTCAATCTAGGTGAGATCGACACCAGGAAGATTGGCATCTGCGCAAGGCCGCCTGGTGCACACTGTACATTGTTTGCCTGCTGAAGGTTGTTTTGAATAATTAAGCTCGATACAGTTTCATGCCAGGTGCAAGAGTGCGTTGAGAGTGCAAGGTGCTGATGAAAACGGGCGCCCCAACGCCGACGCAGCCGCAGGCGCCACCCTTCTCTTCCTGTCCTGGCAGCTGGAGGAGAAGGTGGTCAGTCCTAAAGATCTCCAGAAACGGCAGTCTCGCGAAAGCAAGGAATCCTTGCTGACGGCACTTGAACAATTCCGTTTAGCCAACGTGCTGGAGGAGGTGGAACGCCAGGTTCCAGATACGACTCCGACCGATGCCGCTCCCCGCGGCCAAAAGAGAAGGCGTGGTGCGGATCAGCGTGCTGTTTCCTCGTCTTCGGCCCCCTTGCTCATCATGTCATCCGACATGACGGAGCCCTGCACGTTCGTGAAGCGCAGCGGGCAGGAGTCCTTTCCGTCCTTCCGGCTGAAGAAGGCCGGGAACTGGCCGGAGTCTACCTTTCTGACTGCTGTGAGGCAGGAGCATGCCCGCCGCGACAATCGGCGGCAGAAGGGTCTGAGTCAGCAGTTGTGACCATGTCACAGGTCGCTCGCAGCAGATCCATGTAGCAGCACCATAATTAGAAAATTGATTGAATGCATCTTACAGACATAATTCGCTTGCCGCCTGCAAACGCCAGACGCTCAATTACGATCCGTGCTCTAGTCACGCCCTTCACAAACCGCTCTCTTGGCAAGTTTGCGCTCACATACTTCGATCCTGCGCGGCATCCTGGGCTGCGCTCCGTTCCCGTGAGGCATTTCTGGCTTCCAGGATCCGGCCTCACGGTGGCCTCCTCGGGCCGTGTGTCCGCTGTGAAATCCGCTGCAACTATGCTCACAATGCAGTCTCAGTTCAGCAGTAGCAGTAGTAGTAGTAGTAGGCGCCCCCCCCCTACCAACTACACTTGCTCTTAGCCATGTTAAGACAACATCCATTTTACTCGGTATTTACAGCACTTTCGTCATGTCCGATCATCATAACAGGCCTCAAAATCGACTTGTCGAGTTTGTAAACTCGGGCTCTTGATTTTGGACTTGATTCTTGGGGGGGGGCGGGCTTGGGGGGGTGGGGGGGGATGTTGA